TGGCTTCTGATGGCTGTCTAGCAATCTCTGTCATTTTTCCATCAATATCAGCACCATGGATCTGTCCAAGTAACCCCAAGTCAGCTGAGGCTTCTGATGGCCACCTGCCCTCCCCCATTACCCTCCTTCTCATGCTCATGTCTGTACAAAATTAAGCTTTCTGTGTCGGCTTTCTCAACCACATTTGACATGATCCATATTTTCCACTTTAAATATTTATAGCAAACTTGGAAGGAAAACATTCTCTTTTCCAGCAGCCTTCTAATTTCACTTAACAGTGAAGGTCAGAGCAGTGAATGTTGTGCAGAGGAATTTCTCATTTTCAGCAGAATTAAGGACAGAAAATAGAGATTTCTTTTATCCAGTTTCAACAACTATACCCTACCCCCACTGCCAATCAGTTTAGTGCCATGTTAAGGGGAAAAAGAGCTGAAAAGTTACTTCCTAAAAGATTTGTGGTATTTTTCTGATGATAAAATAATACAAGTCATCTGCAATCATTTCAAAGTATAGATAAGAGCCTATAGCAGGGAATACAGGTCACATATAACCCACCACCTAGAAGTAATGATAATTAACAATTTGGTATCTAATATTTTAGCTTTTTCTTCCTAAATGGGATTATATTATACACAATGTTTTTGCAATATTCTTTTTCTGATTATAATTATTTCATAGAGATCTTTCTTTTGAATGTATATCACCTACCCCATAATTTTTAATGGCTGCATGGAATTCAGTTGTACAAGAAATAATCAATTCCCTGTCACAGGACAATTTAGCTTGTTTGCTGTTGTTCATTTCAAAAAATAATTTAAAGGCTTGGAGATTTCCTCTGAAGACAAGTGCTTCTACTATTCCTTTCATATAAATTTCTTGATGCAGAATTGCTGGGCCAAAGGATATGAGTCTCTTAAAGGCTTTTTGTGCACACTGCCACAAAGAAAGGCAGGGACGAGTTTGCTTTCACAATCAATACGTGGCACTGTCTAGTTCCTTTCAACCAATTCTCTGCCTTAGCAATCTTTAACTTTCTGACAATCTGCTAGCAGAAAACAAAAACGCTACACTGCTATCTTATTTCAATCTCTTTCACCAATATTAAGTTTAAATATTAATTAAACATTCATATTTTCCTTTTGTGACTGTACATAGATATCGTGTTCATTTTTTTCCATTTGATGTGCTTCCATTTTTTTCCCTTTGGTACCGGGGATCAAACTCAGGACCTTTCACTTGTGAGGCAGGCCTGGCGCCACTGAGCTACATCCCCGGCCCCTATTTTTGAATGTTAAAAATATAAAGGCTGTAACTATTCATTTCAATGCAACCTTTGTCCTCTAGGTTTGTTCTTTTGCTGTGCAGATTTTAAATTTTGTGGGATAAAATCCACTCATATTTTCTTTGGTGGTTTCTGACTTTGATTTCAACCTTCTAGAGGTCTTCCCTTCTCCAAGAAGACCAGAAATTACACACATACAGTCTAACAAAAATGTGAATTTGTTTACATTTACATAAATATTTAAACATGATATTAATTATAGTATATAAAGTACAAGGTAGGAATCTAACTTTATTTTTATATAAGGTTAATTCATTTATCCTGTACCTTTTAATGCATGATTCAACCTATTCAATGATTAAAATGGTACCTAAAAAAACCTTTTATATTTGTGTCAGGTAGACATACTTTCATGGTTAGATTTTTTTCTTCTCTTTTTATTGTTTACCTTTTCTCTGTAAAAATATCTCCAAATATTTTCAAGTATAAATTCTTTGGAATGAATTTTAGATTTCATCAGGTAATAAAAAATTCTCTTAATATTTTAATATATGATGCATAATATTTATTTAATTTACATAAGCTTGCAGGAATCTAACCTTGGAAACATGGTTTTCACTTATTAATCTCTTGTATTCTTCAGCAAAGAATTATAACTTCACGTAATGGCATAAATATGTTTTTATTAGCTTATGTGCAGGAATTGATATTTTCATTGTGTGATTTCATTCTAATTTTATTTTACCACTGATTTTTTCTGACTTGTAGAAAAGCTGCTGAAGTTTTTCTGCATGTGGGTTCATTTTGTACTTGTAATTATTTCTGAAGATGATTATTTGGCAGATGAAGCCATCTTGTACTTCATACTTATTTGGTTACATTACAAATAGGTGTAAATTATTCAGACTCACCTCTAAGTATAAGAGCGGCTATGTGGCTCAGAAAGCCTACCAATAATAATTGCATTAATTTAGTTTTTTAAAATATCTTATATTTTTGGATGTTTTGACATCATAAGACCTTGATGACTGGACAACAAACTATCTTTTTTTGGGGGGGCGGTGAGACAGGATCTCACTGTGTAGTTGAGACTGACCTGGAACTCACTATGTAGTCCAGGCTGGTCTCGAACTCACAGCGATCCTTCTGCCTCAGCCTCCTGAGTGCTGGGATTACAGGTGTGCGCCACCACACCCAGCCACAGATTATCTTTCCAATGGCTGTCATCTCCTGACACCTAACTACACTGTGCCTAACTAATAGCACAGCTTGCAATTTTTAAAAATAGTTTTCGTACAACATAAGAACAGCCAGCCTGCTGTAGGAAGAAGAGTTTGAGTTCTGGGGTTAAATGAAACTGATTTGCTGGCTGCGTGATTTCAGATAAGCACCTTCTCTGATATTCTCTCAGTGAGAGGTAATGGAAGAAACAGAATGGTGTGCAGAAGTCCACCAGGTGGTGGGTGGCGGGGCTGGGATTCAAAACCACCTGAGTGTGAAGTACGAACCCTAAACTGGGCTGTCTTTCATCTCACTGTGATATGTGAGGCTCCTCCAGGAACCCAGCTGCCGTGCTGAGTCCCTGACCCCATCATCCAGGCGCAAGTCCAGGGTTTAGCTGTGGATGCAGAGGGACAGGGAACTCCTTTTGCTAGCCGCCTCTCACCATTCCCACTGCTCTTGGCATGATGGATCCCTCCCGGACTCTAAAGCAAGATTACGTCCTTATAAACCCAGGGACACGCAGGCCATCGTAAGAAGGCAGGGGAGCAGCAGCCAGGGTGGTCCCCTAGATGAACGCACCGGCTCCGCGGATGGGGATGTTGCTGAGTAGCTGAGCCACCTGACGAGCACACAAGGCCTTGGGTCCCACCCTCCACATCGTAGGGAAGAGACACTCCCTCTGTGAATTCGGAGCAGCCCCCAGAACTGCAGCCCTCCCTGTGGCTTTCTCAGGGGTCCACAGGAGGAGGAACATGTGCAAGTTCTTCTCGACCCGCACACTCACCACGGACTGTCAGTCTATTCCCTGCCATGCCTTATGTGGCATGACAACATTTCCTTTATTAAACAAAGAAAATGAAATTAGAAGAAAAATATTTATGATCATAAATTCATGTTAACCTCACAGAGGCTTTTGAGGAAGGAACAGTCATTATTTCTACTTTACAGTTGAGGAAACAGATTTTGGGAAATCAGTCTTGCTCTAGATCAAACACCTTAGTTACTTTTTCATTGCTGGGACAAAAACCCCAGCACCCAAGAGTTAAAGGAGGAAATGTTTAGTTCAGCTCACAGTTTGTAGAGGTTCCAGTCCATAGTCAGCTGGCTCTAAGGCCGGGTGGCATGGCAGAGGAGAAATAGTTCATGGTAGGCTGGAAGGAAGCAGCCAATCAGGAAAAGCCAATCTTTCTTTTTATTCCATACAGGCTACAAGCCTATTAGTTGGTACAACCCAGGATGGGCCTTCCCAATACCCATACCCAGAACTATGCTAAATCAATCAGTGGACTACGTTAGTTATCACACACCCTTAATTCATATTACGCACCCTAGATCCAAGCACTTCCAAAAAGCCCCCTGTATGAATGCCCGAGGCTTTGGCGGGACATCTAGGTACAAGCCAGAACATCATATACTTAAGAAGAGGTAGTTAGGATTTGAACCCACATCTGCCTGACTTTCCAACACCTGGCTCTGCTGCCTCCCTCTTGACAGGCTCTGTGCCCACTCATATCCGGGCATTGCCTTTTTCTGATTGGCTATTTGTTGTTGTCTTTCTTAGCCCAAACATGAGTCTTTGAGTAATCCTCACAGAGCAGGTGGTAGGTGATATGTGCTTGCTTTCTATTTTACACCATTGGTTGCTCTCCTGCTTGACCAAGACAGCTGTGTGTCCCACGATGCAGTGGGTGTGTGAGTATGTTAAGAGTTCGTAATGGATTTAAAGGAACATGTAATTATGTCCAACATAGTGAATTCTGCTGATGAGATGTTCCCATCCATTCACTGATGGAAAATAACTAAGAGGAAAACATTCCTATTTACCAGTGAGGCCAACACATACTAGTGTAGAAACATGTTGCTACACAATCACAATCCAGTGTCCCGTGTCATTAGGCAGGCAGGTGTCCATGGGGGTCAAACCAGGCCTTTTTATACTAGGACAGCTGTGTCGATCACTTCATTAGGGAGCACAGTGCCACTTCGTTCTGTCTGCTTATACCCATGCTCTCTAGGAGGCACCGGGGCCCAAGAAGTCAATATTACATCCAGACAGTGCCAAGTGCCTGCCCCAAGGAGCCTTCCCATGCTCCAGTTTGCTGCCTTGTAGTCTGGAGTACATCACACTTCCGGGGAGACTGGAGCAGCAGCACTCAGGAGGGAGCAGGAACAGAAAATCCCTCTGATGAAATGTTATGCATTAATGGGAGGGAAACATCTGGTCCGGAAGCCAAGGACCCCAAAGCCTTCGGATGATGTGTGACTTCAGAGAGCTGTTAGTCATCATAGACACTGACACCAAATCACATCACAAAGGCCTCTGCCGTCTGCTAAGGACACTACAGAGCACACACTGGAGCAGATAAACAGGACAAGAGGGACTTCTGGTGCCAAGGCACCAGGCTCATTTGCATGGATTACCACTTACTAAATGAAGTCATTTCCTCTTAGTCAAAGGTGCCCAGAGCGAGCAGGACACAGAGGGCAAGGAGGAAGGAGTGAATTACGTCTAATGACTGCTGGTTTGGGGCTTTCTGATGAACAAAAATCCTTTAGTTCTGACAGCAGTGCACATCACGCAGACGTGGTTTGGACTGGACCCGTGGGGACTGCCTGGCAAAGCCTCAAAAGCACTGGTTTCTTTATGAGGTGACTGTGCCCCAGTCGTGTCTGAGCCTCATCTGACAGCTCTCCCCAGCACGGCTCTCCCCACCCTCCCTGCACCTGTGCTTTGTCTAATTAAGTCCTTAAGCCTACCTATTAATAGTTTGGATCTAAAAGGCCACCCAAAAGTCAGCTTATAGATTTGGGAAGTGATCAGATCGTGAAAGCATTGACCCATTGATGAGTCCCTATCTAAGTGGGCTATTAGGAGGTGAAGCCTAGTCGAAGGGAGGAGGTTATGGGAGCATAACTTTAGGGGCTACATCTTGTCTCTGGCCACTTTCTCTATGGGCTGCTTTCTCTCTGATTCCTGGCTGGCAAGGAGGTGAGAAGTATTCTCACATCACACCCTTCCATCATGGTTTTTCTTTCTTGGAATCAGCCAACCATGGACTGAAACCTCTAAAAGCATGAGCCAGAACAAACCTTTCCTCACTTTGGATAGCTTATTTCAGGCCTTTTGTCACAGGGGCAAAAGGCTAATGCACCACCCATGAGTGGCAGCCATGAAGCAGCAGCACAACACAGGAGCGAAGGGCACAGGTGACCTGCACTGTGTCACTCTGGCCCCTGCTCTCCATGTGATCTGTAATACACAGTGGGCTGAACGGTGGCTCGCAAAGGTAGTAGGATCTCATGCCTAGAGCCTTTGAAGGTTGCCTTATATAGTAATGTTTTTGCAGATGTGATCAAGAATCTTGAGATGAGGAGATCTTCTCAGATCATGTTCTTCCAAAGGAGACAGAGCGACATTTGACACAGGCACAGACTGCCAAGGAGGAGGCAAGGTGAACATGAAAGCACAGACACAACGAGGCAGCTGCAGGCTAAGAGATGGCAGCAGCCACCCAATACGGGGAAGGCACAGAAAGAATTCCCACCTGGAGCTCCAGGGGAAAGCACGGCCTGCCAATCCCTTAGACACATTTTGTTGTTCTCAGCCTCCAAATTTGCCCCAATAGTTTCAAAAAACTAATATGTGAAGGTTATAATATTTCCTGCCACCGAGGCAGTTTAAAGAATCCAGGGATTAAACAGGTAGAAGCATTTGCAATACAGTGTGGCACTTGGGAAGTGCTGTAAGAGGTCTTTACTAAGCTGGGAGGCTGAGGCAGGAGGATCACCATGAGTTTGAGGTCAGCATGGGCTACACAGTGAGTTCAAGGTCAGCCTGAATTATAGAGCAAGACCCTGTCTGAAACAAAACAAAACAAGGGTAGTCTTTACTAAGTAGACGTTGATACTATTAATTTTTAAACAAAGGAAGAAACTGAGTCTCTGGGAGACACGTGCAATATCAAAACTAAACCCTGATGCCACATCTTCCCTTGCTTGAGAGCAAGTCCACAGGCCTGAGCCCTAACAGGAGCCTGCTGGGATGGTCCCTGGCATACCCTGTCATGCTCTCCTGGGAGTGAGGTTCCAGAAGCTAAAGGTCAAATGAAACCCACATGGTCAGACCCAAAGACTGGGCCAGAAGTCAGAATGTGGACACAGTTGCACCCTCCTGCTTCCTCTGGTCCCCCCATGTCAGACTTCAGTCAGGTATGTCCCTCTTTCTAGGACACCCACATCTGCCATCCATATCTGGGGCTGTAATAATAGAAATAATAAATAACAAGTGTCGTTTACTTTCACTTGCAGGGTGCCAGGATTTGAACTGAACGTTTTAGACATTTCTTGTATGCTTAATTAGTGTAACCACTTACAGATGGGATATGGCCAAGTTTGAGTGGAATTCAAGCCTAGGTCCATCCTACCCCATGTTCTTATGTTCACCAATCTTCCCCATCAGAACAGCTTCCTAGGCATCAGGCACCTGGCTAGGGATTGCCACATACTCTGTTCCTGAATCCTACTGGGATCCCTGTCTTCCACATGAAGAAACTGCCCAAACTCACCCAGACAGCCAGCTGCTAAAGCAGGACTTGAACTCCCATCTCTGACCTAGCTCAGGTTCTGCCTGGTGTCTCCCTCCTGCATTATGGCTTAGACTCAGGTGCAGGCATCTTGGCAGCTCACAGTAGCAGAGAACACTACATCATCCCCCACCTGTCTTCTCCCATCACATCCAAGGAAGTTGGCTAATAATAGTAAGCCATAAACACAGAGTACACACAATATTCCTAACCTATGTTGACATTAACTAACTCCTTGAATCATACAGGCCATACGTCATCTGGAGGAAAACCAGGAGATTTACAATAAGGAGCGCGGAAGGACACTTTCTCCTCAGACAGCAGAATTTCTTCTTTACTGTGACCACAGATGCAGCTAGTGGTGACCGACTCTATAGGAAATGACTGCTGTAGTCTCCATCTAACCCCCACTAAGCCAAATCCTATCGGGAGGATTCCCCTGGGCTGGATTTTGGGATTCTCTTCTACGCAGCCCTGAATTTCTGCTTGGTGGTTGAAGCTTCCCTTAACCTTGCCTACAGCTTTGATTTCTCAACTAAGACTTGGGCATCTGGAGGGCATGTGCCTGGGTCTTCTTTCTCTTACACTGGCAAAGCAGCACTTGTAAAAACAAAAGGGCTCATCTGCCGGCTGAGTACGCACTGTGTACAAGAATCTGTATCCCCCTTCTCCTCTTAATCTCACTACAACCCTGGGAGTGGGTACTGAGCTTCTCATTTACAGTTCCAAGTCTTTTGGAGGATGTTGCGGAGAATAACAAGGATGTGAATAATAACAGTGCTAATTCACACTGACCCCTCACTGTCCACCACACAGTCACAAGAGATTTCTTTATGCACAGACTCCTCAGCTCTCACAACGACTCATGAGACATCACTCCTAGATAGGTATCAGTAGCTGCTATGATTCCCACTTTACAGATGGGAAAACTGAAGCAAAGGAGAATTAAATAAGGTCACATATCTGGCCACACATCTGGAACACATCAGGTCACACATCTGGAACAGACGGGGTCAAACTTGGGAGACTGAGGTCCAGGTGCCAATTAAGTATTGCATGCCAGCTGGTTTTCTATAGTTTTGTCGGAACCCCGCCACACCTACAAGTCTGCTTATTGTCCATGTCGAGAGCTACTTTCCTATACAACCATAGTTGGAACAAAGACCACGTGGCCTGCAAAGCCTAAACTATTCACTACATGAACCTTTACAGAGAAAGTCTGCCAACCCCCGGTCTAGCTCTAGAGCTCGTGCTGCGTGAAAGCCCCATGTCACTTCCTTCAGAAGGCCTTCCCCAAGCCCGGATGGACAGGCAGAGCACAAGTCTCATCCTCAGCACGAGACACATCAGCACTGAGGTCTCCACTCTGGTATCTCTTCTCTTTGGCGCATGTCGGCTTCATCTATAACCTTAACGGTATGGTTTGAATACAGTCTTGGTGCCTCCCAAGGGTGCATCGTGAGCTGAGGCCCCATCTACGGGGTGTGCTGTTGGAAAAAGTGGTAGAAACTTTGGGAGGTGGGCGACCTGGGAGGCCCTGAGGTCATGGAGGGTGTGCCCTTGGAAGGTGGCTCTCACGAGGCCCCTTAAACTCTTGGCAGAGGATGTTATAAAAGGAGCAGGCCTCTCTGCTCATGGTTCAGGGTGCCATCATTTGCTTGCTCCTACACACATTGCTGCCACTGCTCTCTGTCATCCACAATCCCCCCGCAAGGCTCCCACCAATACTGAACTGATGGGAGGATCATGCCCCTGAACCTCCAAAACTGTGAGCTAAATAAGACTCCTTTTCTTCATAAGCAGCCTGCCTCTGGAGTATGTTGTTACGGTAACAAAAAGCTCATGAATACACTTACGGGGTTGTATGTAGATTATAGGAGGCGCCATGATAAAATGCCAGGCAAACATAGGTACATAACAAGAGCCCAGAATTCACCAGTAGTCCAGGTAAGTGGAGACTTCCTTTACCTCTCCTGCACCGCAATGGAAGAGAAGTGCCAGCTCCATCCTTTACTTTCGGCAGAGAAATAACACCTGTTGTCCTGCTAAAGCGCAAGACGGTTCCTATCTATTTCACACTTGCAGCTGATCATCAATATGCTGCTTCCGCTTGGCAGATATGAAGAGAATGTGCCAATCTCTGGCACAGGCAGCTGCTTTCCTGGTAGGAGGGCGGGGAGGAGAGGAAGGAGAGGAAGGGGAGGAGGAGGGAGAGGAGGAGGGAGAGAGGGAGGGAGAGGGAAGGGGAGGG